TTCTTTTTTGTTAATCCTTACCCGAGGATATTTTTTCATTGACTTTTAGGGACAATGGAGGGGGGAGGGGGAAAGGGAGGGGAGAAGGGAAGAGAGAGAAACATTGATGTGAGGCATATAGATTGGTTGCCTCTCGCAGGCCCCAACTGGGGCCAGGGATGGAACCTGCAACACAGGTACATGCCCTTGACAAGGACTCGAACCTTCAGCCTTTCATTGCACAGGCCAACGCTCTAACCACTGGCCAGGGTGAGATATTTCACTTCTTGTCACACTTTGGCCCCTTTCCACGTCTGAGGGAGGAGGGGGGACTAGAGAGGAGGGGGAACTACAACAGCTGAAGCTGCTTTTTGATGAGACACGCAGGAACCACCAACCACCTAAATAAACGTCCTCTTTATTTACCAAATATAATTTATCAGTTATGTTGACATCTGTCAATTCAGTTATAGTAACTATAAATAATTCTCTTAAGACACAGTTCTGTAACTTTTTAAGGATACAAGAGTAAACCAATATCGCTCCTTGCAGCCAGGCCAAAAGTACATGCAGTTTGTGCAATCAGGGGAAAAGAAACGAATCTTCCACGAAAGTCAGCTTCATTGTCTTGCGTCTCACCCCACAGTCCTCCCCTCTGCTCACAGTGAGGGCTGGGGACACGCCTACCTTCCTGCCTTAGGCAAAGGAAGATGCTCGAGTCTTCCAGGGCAGCCTGGCCGAACTCCAGAGATGAGGAAGGGGTGAGTGACTGGGCAGGGGTGACTGGGGGTCACGGGGCACAACTTCAGGGGCAGGGGAGTTGATTTTGGTGCCTGTACAAGAAGAGTCTGTGTGCAAATGTGTTTGGAGGTCGGGGACAAGATGCAAGGCCCGAGGAGCAGAAACAAGCCCAGGCTGGTGTTAATGAACTCTGTTGGACACAGTTCCAACTGGAGAACCTCTATGGTTCCTTCCAATTCTAAGGTTCTAGACTCCACTAGGTGGCCTGGGTGGAAATGGAGGGAGAGAGGAGACAGTCTGGAGGTACAGGGCAAGTTCCTGGGGTAAGGCATGGTGTTGGTAAGAGAGAAGGTCATTCCTTTGCCTTTCCCTGGAGGTGGGTCCTTTAGGGGATGTGGGGGGGGTAGGTCTGGGAAGAATGTGGAGAGGCTAGAAAAAACCTGCATCCAAACGCCCAGATTTGTACATGTGTGAGTGTGGACAGACTTCCTATCTGTTCAGAGTAACGTGGGTAAGAGAGAGACTTCGGTGTTCTCCCAACCTTGTGCTAGGCAGAGAAAAAGCAGAGGGAGCTAGTTGATGTCTAGTCTACTAGTTCTGAACCCTTTTTTGATGGCTGGTAAGGGGAGGTGGAGTGTAGGAAAGGTGAGGAAGGGTCATTTGAGAGATGAACTGAGCCATGGGGCTGGGCGCTCTAGCTGCGGTCAGCATTTTACACAGCTGGGCTCTAGGAGGGAGATCCAGAGGCAGAACCTGGTTTGGTGATACAGATGCAAATACAGCGAGGATGCTTTTCCTGCCAGATTGAAGGAGCATGTGGCCTTTATCTGGGGAATGAGGTGAGGTTAGAGCTGTATTTCCCTTACCACTGGCTAGTCAGTGCCTGGCACAGTACCTAATGCGTAGTAGGCACTCAGTAAATATTGCTCAGTGAATGTCTCAGACCTGCCTGCAGAAGCGCTCCTCTTGGGGAGGCTGTGCACTTGTTGAATGAGTAAATGACTGGATGGTCAATGTGGGCAGAAGCCAAGAAAGAGGACAACTGATCTCCATGACATGACAGACTGAGTGATTTTAGGAGGTGACACGTGACCATGTGTCCTCAGGAGAAACAGCAGCAGTGAGACACCCCTGGTTGCCCTCAGCCTCCCAACCATTCTCCACGTACCCATTCCTGTCCCTAATCCTGGAACCCAATCTGGCAAGCTCTGGGGAAGGTAATGCTTAGAGACAATTAGAGGTGAAGGCTGAACAGAGATACAGGATTGGTCCTCTGGGCCCAGAGGGGATATAGATCTTGGCAAACCTATGGGCGAGTATGGGTCAACAAGGAAACCAGGCCACTGCTCATTTCTTCTGGATGTCACAATCAATGGCAAAAAGGTCATCAGGGCGGTGCTTACCATCAATTGGGTAAGGGGCACGTGCACAATTTGAATAGTCCACCTTAGTCTTTATGAAAGCAGAAGGGCCTAGGTCCAGAGGGCACAGAACAAGGCTAGGATTTTATGGAGCCAAGAGCAGTTGTCTCCTGCCTTGAAGTTGGTCCATTTCTAGAAAAAGTGTATGTGTGTGTGTGTGTGTGTGTGTGGGGGGGGGTAGTGATATTTATTCCTCTGTTCAACCAAAAAAAGAGAAAACAAAAACACCAGAGCCCACTCACAAAGGGTTTCTCATTAGGGTCAAGACTAAGTTTGCTAAAGCATGTTCCAAGTTCCCAGATGGAATCCCTGTCCCAATCCACCTCACATGAAATTGAAATTGCACTTGGTGATTGTCTCAAAAATCTACTTGTACTGCTTATCTCAGTCCCTCTGCCCTGCCTGAATTCTTGTTATACAAACTTGGCTCAATGTATAAAAATTCCCATTGAAAATAATGAGAATTCGGTATCAAAGCGAAGTCCTAGAAAGAGGTGGGAGTGTGGAGTGGGGCGGGGGAAGGGGAACAAAAGACAAAATTTCATTAAGAAAGTGCAGAGGGTGAGGAGAAGGTTGAGTGACCAGGCTAGTCCCCGACGTCCGTGTCTCGGTCCCCAATGAGCCAGAGGACATGGAAGCTGAGTGCTAGGAGCCCAGTGCCAAGCAGGTCCCCCAGAGCTGTCAAGTACGGGATGGAGAAGTTGTCTGGGTCCAGGCCCCGGCCCCACATCCAGTGCACCATCCAGTCGGCGATGTACAGGAGAATCAGCACCTGGAGGGACACAAGACTTCAGCCTGTAGCCCTCCCTCTCTCCAGGGGGAGCCAAAGGCCACAGGATCTGGCCCATTCGTTGCATCACAAGGCTTGGCTCTCCACAGTCCCTATGCTGGGACAGTTCATCTTTCCACACGGTGACCTCTCTGTGTTCCTCCACCCCATTACCACCTTGGACACACAACAGACACAATGTGAGCCCTTTAGAAAGGAAGATGCTCTACTCCTTGGGGTCACCCACATCAGCATTACATTCTGCTCCCAAATTTACCAAAGAGGGGCTTCCTGACTGAAATCCTACGTGCCACAGGAGTTGGGCTCTCCTGCCTCTAATTCTAGGTCACCCTATTCACGGGTCACTCCAACTCCTGCCATGTTGGCCTCTCCAGGAGCCCGGCAGGGGGCAGGGGTTGGAGCTGGCTTTTCATAGAGCGATTTCTCCTCGGAGCAGAGTGGAATAAGGACAGCGTTTGAGGCCGCTGCCAGCACAGTTGTCTGAGTAACAGCTGATTATCCTAAGCTGGCTTCCTCCTGACCCTTTCCATTCTGCTGTTGTGAGCTCAAAGGACGCAAGTGTGTTTTAATGTTAGTCCTAGCAAAACAGAATCACGAACAAGTCTGCTAAATAGAAAGCAGGCAGTGCACAGCAATCCAAAAGACATTTTGGATTATCTACTGCTTTGATTTATCTGTGCCCTTGCTTTCCCTCCATTACTATAGATAACTAAGAATGGTCTAGATCAGAACCCTGCTAGTGGGCCCAGGACCAGTAGCACCAACAGCAGCTGGGAGCTTGTTAGAACGCAGTCTCAGTACCCCCTCCCCCCTCCCCAGGTCTCCTAAGTCAGATTCTGCATTTTAACAAGATTTACATGCACCTTTAAGTTGGAAATGCACTTGATCTAGATGCCATGTGCAAGGGGGCAGGCCCACACCTTCCATATGCTCTGTACCATCCCTGACCTGGGCTCCCTAAATGACTGCAACTGTGCGAGAATGAAATGGCTTCTAATGGTAAAGCCCCAGCACAGTCATTTGGGAGGTTTTACTCTTGACTGTACTTTGCAAATGCTGTGGTATGAAAATTCTGCCCTAAGGGGCTCTGATACAGGAACCAGAGGCTCTTTCAGGATAGAGAAGCTAGAATTTATACCTATTTTTAGGCAAATTTGGTTGTTCTCCAGTCTTCTCTCCAGGGAGCCAGAGGTTACAGTTCTAGCGCCCTTCACATTCCCCATTGCCCTGCACACAGCTGCCTTGTATTCCCGTGGCCCTGGCCCTGATCCCCCAACAGCTTCACACCCTTTCCAGCAGCTTCAGAAGAGCCCCAAATAAAGAGCGGGGCAGAGGGGCTTCAGGAGATGCCCCAGGAAGGGAATGGCAGCAGCTGTTCCTACATTCCAGCCCCTGGGAAGGCCCTGGAACAAAGGAGGCAGCACAGGATCCCGAAGAACCTTTACGGGGGTAAATGCCAGGCTCTGGGCCTGCACAGGCCTGGAGAAAGGGGCAGAGATGGGAGTGTCCCACGGCGGGCTTGTCAAGGATAATGGAGGCAAGGCTTATCCTTCCCAAGGTAGGTCAAGGCTAACCTCCAGCCACAGACCCTCTTCCTTCCCACTAAGTGCACTTGCAAGGGAATGTGGTGACCTGGGTAACTGCTTCGGGAAACAGCACATGGTTGATCTCAGCCCGGCCCTTGCTAAGATGTCCCTACACACCTTTCTCAAGGTGGGGGGAAGGGGTTGAAAGGGTAAGTGACCGTCAATAGGGGACTGGTTAACTGAAATTAGGGTACGTCTCTGTAACAGGCTAGAATGCAGCCATATAAAACCAGGATGCTCTTCTCTTTACGTGTCGATATGGAATGGCCTCTAGGATAAATTGTTATGTGAAGAAAGCAGGGCTATCTGTGTGTAAAAAAAAAAAAAAAGGAAAATAAGAAAAATATGTTTGCCTGTATAAATATGAAATAGCATGAAGGGTATATAAGAAATGGATACCCAAGTGCCCATCAGTGGATGAGTGGATAAAAAAGCTGTGGGACATATACACCATGGAATACTACTGTAAAAAAGCTGTAAAGCAGCTGTAAAGAAGAAGGATCTCGTACCCTTTGGGACAGCATGGATGGACCTGGAGAGTATTATGCTAAGTGAAATAAGCCAGGCAGAGAAAAACAAGCATCACATGATCTCACTTATATGTGGAATCTAAAGAATGTAATAAACTGATGAACAGAATAGATTCAATGACATGGAAGCATAGAACAGACTAATGAATGTCACAGGGTTGGAGGAGGGCGGGTGGGTGGAGGGGGAGAGAGTAACCAAAGAATTTATATGCATATATGCACAACCCAAGGACATGGACAATGGTAGGGAGAGGGACTGTGGAGGGGGATGGGATGGGGTAGAATGGGTCACTGGGGATAAAAAGGGACATCTGTAATATTTTAAACAAAAAAATAAATTAAATTAAATTATAAAAAAAGAAAAAGAAATAGATAACACTGGCGGCTGGTGAGGAATAGAACTGGATGGCTAGGTGCAGGGCAGAAAAGAGGACCTTTCACTATGAACTTTTAAAAAATTTTGAATTGTAATGTGACTGTTATTACCTATTCAAAAAACAAATCTATAGGAGTTTAAAGGATAATAACCAGGGTGAGTGTGGCTATACAGGGGTAGCCTGAGGGAGCTCTGTGCTGATGGAATAGTGCTGTGTCTTGACTGTGGTGGTAGTTACATAAATCTACAAATGTGATAAAACTACGCAAAATTAAACACACACACACACACACACACACGAATGCATGTGAAATGGGTGCAGCCTGAATAAACTCTGTGGATTGTATCAGTGTTGATTTCCTGCTTTTGACATTGTACTATAGTTTTGTAAGAGGTTACCACTGGGGGAAACTGATGGATCTCTCTGTACATTTTTCCTCCCACTTTCCTGTGAATATGTAATTATTTCTAAATAAAATGTTTAAAAATGTAATAACACAACAAGGGAGAGAGTGCCATAGTATTATAGAATGGCAAGGCTGGATAGGATCCTACTGATTGTCTAGTACAGTTGTTTTGACACTTTCTCAAGCCCTGAAACCCTTTATTATATGAAATCTTCTGAGAACACTCAACATGCAAAACAGAGCCAAATGGAGCTCTGTGGCCAAAGCCCACCTGCTCAGCACCCTACAACCACCTGCCGAAAACCACCACCTCCGGTTCATTCCTCTCAATTTGCAAACGTATCACAGGTTCAGAGATAATTCTACTACTGGGCCAAAGTCACACAGCACGTTAGTGACTCCGCTGGAACTACGCCTGTGCTACCGAGCCCCTGTCCAGTGTTTATCTGCCATCCAGTCCCGGAGAAAGAGGGGCAGAGTGTCCAGACGGGCCAAGCCTGGGCCCCCCTGTCACCCCAGCAGGGCAGCCCTGGCCCCCGTGCCCCTGCCAGTGCGTACCTGGAGCAGTGCGGCTGTCATGTAGAAGACGATGAAGATGAGTGTGAGTGTGGTGTGCCCTCCCTGCATACAGCTGATGGTGTAGAGGAACACCAGGTGTCCTGGAACCACAAGTAGGAAGAGGACCCGGGCCGAGCGAGAATTCACATCTGGGACCGGGGGAGAGAAGGGGTGAGGAGGAAACCTGGCCCCAGAAGGCCTTTCAAAGCCAGGAGGTACCACATTACACTCCAGGGCAGCAGACAGCTGACCCTCTACCTCTCCATCCCATGGCCCCCAGCCCCCAGGGTGTCTCAGGAAGGGAGAGCCTTCCTGCCTGGGCTGTGCCCTCTATAACAGCAGAACCTGTGTATCTGGGCCCCAGCTGTTTCCTAAGTGAAGTTCACTGACTGCTGACCCCCTCCCTCCAGGGCTGGAATGGACCTAGAAGGAGGGGCTCTGCCATTACCAGGACTGAAGAAGGTGGTACAAGGACTGGGACAGCGGCGAGGGGCTTGCTCGGAGCTCTCCCCTGGCATTCCATTCATGTGGAGAAAGGTGGAGATGCGGCTGGCCTGCACTGCCACCAGATTGCCCCCAACACCTGCAGAGACCAAAGACCTTAGACATGGGGGAGGGACGAGTTCCCAGGAGAAGAGGGAGACATTAAGAAGAAAGACAAAGACCAAACAAAACCCCCACCCCAATTCCAGGGAGTCTTCCAAGCTCTACAGACTGTAGCACCCAACCTCCCATGCTGGTGCTTCTAATTGGGTTTGTTCAACAGGAGGCACCAGTAGGCGATCAGAGAGGGTGGGAGGAGAGGAGTCAGGTATTTCTTTCCTGATCCCTCGCTGCTTTATGGCAGTGGCTTACCCCTGCTGGGGGCAGAGGAGGGCTCTCTCTGGGTTTCTGTAATACTATTTTCTCCCCTTGACCCTTGAGAAGGAGGGCTTCCTATTGTTGCTAATCTCTGGATGCCTCAACATCTTGTTGGTCCTTCGACCCTGTTCTCATTTCTGGGAGCAGCCCCTTCATTAAAGTCTTGAACTAACTGAGCTGGATTCTCTTGCCTGCTAGAACCCCGAATGATACAAAGCCCCCCCAATCCTCTTCTTCTGCCCTCTCCTTTCCCCTGGCAGCTGAGGCCAAGACCTCACCATTAATCACAGGTGTGAAGACAGCCATCCCTGCAAAGTTGGGGTCTGAGACAGTCTTGTCCAAGATGAGGCCTCCCACACTACGTAGACACAAAGAAAAAATGACACAAAGGCCATTAAAGGGTTCTGTTCCAGTCCCTGGTATGAGAGGGACAGGCCTATCTGACCTTGGGCAGGAAGGGAAGCAAGGTGGCTCCTAGGAGTCCCTTGTCTTCTAGTCTTTGCTTCTTTTACCAGAACCAGTTCTGCTCATAACATTCAACTGTCACACTGCTCCCTGAGCAAGCTGGCGGTGCCCACCTCCCAAGCCGGCTAGAGGAGCCATCATCAGGGTGACCTGCTTGTGAGAATCTTTGCTGTTCTGCCCACTCTGTATTTATTTTCCCTTCTGGTAACAGTGCTGAGATCTTCAGGGAATGGCCTCTCTCAAAGTCAGTCGCTGTGGTTCGCATGACATTACTCCAATGATGACTAGGCCCCAAAATCATCCAATCAAAGCATCTCATCCCCAAAGCCACAGATTGTTTGAAGGATAATCATGTGACTGAAGGAGAGTCAATGAAATTCTATTATGGGACTTTGTGAAATTGTTGAGAAAAAATCTCTCTTACGACTGAATTAGTACGAGTAGAAAAGTATGAACCTGGGGAGAAGAGCCGAGAGATGGAGAATACTGGGGCCCTGATGATATAATTCCTGCTCCTGAATCCAGCTGGGCCTTTTTAGTTCCCTAAGCCAATGCATTCTGATTTTCAATGAAACTCACTTCAGATAGTTTCTGTCATTTATAATAGGGTGACTGATACACCATTGAAGGCATTTCCAGGGTCTGCGCCATGCTCCATCTCTTCAGGTCTTAAAAGGGAGTTTGTGGCAGGGTGGAGAGGGTAGAGAGGCTTGAGCCTACCTGCTGATGGCCATGGCAATGATGACAGGCTCCCAGCCGGAGTACAGCACCTCCCTTGTGGCTGGGCTCCGTCGGGCCAGCACCACCCAGACAGGTAGCAGGGCCACGAAGAAGGCACACACCAGGGGGTAGATGTATTTCCAGTTATCTGAGAAGCAGAGATCAGAGGGAGGTGAGCACTGTGGCTCCCAGCTCCCAGCCTCCCCCTGGCTGAGCCTGCAAATATCCCAACGGATAACAGCAATGCCACGCTAAATGCCTGGAAATATATTGCCTCATTTGATCCTCACTGTAAGCCCAGGAGATAGATGGGGCCAGCCTTCTCCACTGTGTAGATGAGAAAACCAAGGTCAAAAGCTCCCCAAGCACTGGGCTCATAAGGGGCAGAGACCAGGCTCTAGGTTTCTTGCTTTGATCTCCAGAAATCACTATCTCCCCTCCCCTTCTTCATTTTGCAAGCAGATTCCAGCCTCAGTTCCTTTCTTTTACCCTGCCTGCCTTACCCCTCCAAGGGAAGCCAGAATCCACAGGACCCAGCAGGAATATACATATTTCTCCGATACTTTCTTCCTGCTCCTGCTGCCTGAATTTGAGATAAGCACTCAGCCTCACCTCTCTAAGGTGGGGAGTTAGCACAACTGTGTTCCAACCAAAGAAAGAACACCGGAGAAATGCTTACACATTTGCACATACATTAACCATCTCTCCCAACTCTACCCAGGAGCCCACCCAGGTCACACCCTTGGTAGCTTCAGCCTCACCCAGCTCCAGGTAGAGTCCCCAGCTGATGCCTGAAAGTAGTGCCAAGGTAATGAGGTCACCCAGGCTGGCAGCAATGGGGGTGGCCACATTGTCTGGGTTGATTCCAATCTTTCGAGAGCCAATGATGACTCCAATCATGATCATACCTAGGGAGGAAGGGGAGGGGCCAGGAAGGGTAAGAAGAGATAAAGGGGTAGTAACAAAAAGAGACTGGAGGTACCCGGCCCAGTTGACACCTCTGGGGTAGCCCTCCCTTGCCCCTCCCCCATCCCCTCCCTTTCTTCCTTACCCAGGACCAGGGAGGCAATGAAGGCCGTGGCCACGCTACTGGCACACAGCAGAAAGGCATGCGGGATACTGAAGTGGCCGTCAGGGATCCAGCCAAAGACGACAGCTGCAATGGATGCCAGGAAGCCCACCACTGTGGCCTGCACCTGAGGAGGGGAGTGGTAACTCAGAGAGCCCTGGGAGTAGACAGCTTCTTAGCAGAGGCCACTGAGCACTTGGCCAGACCTTTTCCTGGCCCTTAGCAGCCCCAGGAGGCAGGCAGGGCGGGACTGTCCAGTCCTCCCAAGCTGGAATGATGTCTTTATTTATTTAGTTTCACACCAGACACTAGTACTGGGCAGTGCACCCTGCAGGGGCCCAGGACATGTTACTGGCTGAATGAGTGTTCCTCTGGGGATTGGGGTGAGGTTCAATGGCGCCTAAGACTTCAGTCCAGAGACAAGGCCTGGGGCTCAAGGGGAATGACTACAGTGCAGAACCTATGTGGCCTTAGGGGGACAGGAGACAAGGGTGGTGAAGGACGTTTCAGCACTCCAGTCTTCTCCTGAGTCAGATCTGTGGGGACAGGAGCCTCCTGCAGCACTGGGAGCCAAGAACTGACATTGAGATACTAGAGCTTTTTGGCTGCTTTCCTGGGAAACCTGGTTACCTCCTAAGGCTGCTTTGGGAGAAGCCAGCTCAGCAGGATGCCGGAGCTTCACTGAGGACCCAGCAGGGGCTGACCTAAACCTTTCAGATTCCTGACCAGGAGGATGCTCAGCCCAACCTCTCTGGTTCCTGCTCTCTTACCTGGATGAGGGCCATGTTCCCAGTGATCATGCGCCAGAGCTCCTTGGGTGTGTCCATGTGCCCAATGTTGGCCTGGGAGAGGGAGGACAGGGGGCTAGAACTCCAGGCTGGAAAAGGCCTGCAGCTCAGTCCATTAGCACCCCACCTAGATCAGGAATCAGTGCGTGTGCCCTAAGACTCTGGGACTAGAACATGACCCCCCCTGGAGAGTGAAGTAAGATCAGGGGGGCCAGAGTGAGCAGGAAGGAGCTCCTTGAGCTCCTGTGGCTGGGGCGGGAGTGGGCAGGAAGGGGACGGCCAAGGGGGCCTCCCCTCTCCTCCTCAGGAGAGCTGCTGAGCAGAGGCAGGCCCCATCTTCTGTCCTGCTCATCAGGACAGCTCGTTCCTGCATGGGTGACAACGACTGGATGGATCCCAGCTCTGAAGCCAGCTTGCTGTCCTAGCGAAGGGAAGATTAGCTGCTGGTGTAGGACTATGGCCCCAAGGGCGTCTGGGAAGGAGTGAGGTGGCATAAGCGAAGGCCCAGAGCAGGGCAAACTGGGGCAGACAAGGCTGGCTGCCACTTCTCTCTGCTGCCTTCTCCAGACTTGTGGCCATGTAGGGACATCTCTGCCACCTGGTTCCCTTGGCCTCCTGAGTTTTATTGCTTCCTACCTCCCACCCCATGCCTTGTATCTGGTTCAGCCTCTGAATCGTTATGGCTGATCTAAGGGGTTGTGGGAGGTGGGAGTAATGAGCACCCCTCTCGGCCTATTCCTTTAAAGCCAAGGGGAAAAGGGGATGGAATGG